ACAATCCATCTTGTTGACTTCTCGGCCAATACTTTGTTCTAATTTGAATATTGCTAATTTATCTTTCAGCGCTTTCATTGTTGCCTCTTCTTTCGCCTTGTCCTTGCATTCTTTATTGAAAGCCATTAATTTGGCTTTGAAGGCCTGAATATCGGCCATTTGCTTTTGTTGCTTAGAACTCATTCAAGACTCCTTAATTATTGATCTTCTCCTTCATTGCCAATATTTACTTTAATCAGAGGGTATTGTACTTGAGCGTATCCAGGCTTGATGATTCGCATTACTTCATCGTCCAGCTCCTTTGTAAGCATTTCTTCTTCTAAACAATCCATCTTGGTGACTTCTCGGCCAATACTTTGTTCCAATTTGAATATTGCTAATTTATCTTTCAGCGCTTTCAGGGTTGCCTCTTCTTTCGCCTTGTCCTTGCATTCTTTATTGAAAGCCATTAATTTGGCTTTGAAGGCCTGAATATCGGCCATTTGCTCTTGTTGCTTAGAACTCATTCAAGACTCCTTAATTATCTTTTTGCCAATTACTGGCTCTTCTAGGGCCACTATATTTGGCCTCATCTGTCTGAACATTTCAGTGAGTACGTCCACTGAAAATGGCTTTTCGCTCTGCGCGACAATTTGAGTTTCTTTCCCATCTTGTACTACCCTGACAGGTCCATAGTTTCCTTCGTACATGAACTTTTCCACTGAGTTTGCTTCTGCGACAAAAGGCCTATGATCGGCCTGCACAACCTCTGCTTTACCCTTGTTATTCCAAAAAACCAGGCATTGATGGAGCGATGAGGGTATACAGTGACTTTCGTGTATCCAATCTCTTCTTAGTAACATATTGTAACTAGTAGGACCATCTATTACAATAAAGACTGTGGTCCTAGTAGTTGTACCTATAGTTATATCCAATGGCATAACTCCCTTAGCTGCAGTTGCTTCTCCATTGAAACTTGTAAGGATGACTTCTGTTGGGAATCATATCCTTTTCTGTCTTTACAAATTTCCTCATCATCCTAGATAGAATGGTGTTTATAGCTGCTCCATTATCGACAAGCACGTTTGCCACATGTATGCCGTTAACTAGAGCTTTAACGTACAACGGCCTCAAGTGTTTAGTCAATTTTATGGCTGGCCGTTTAAAAATAACCTTTTCGGTAGCCTCTATTTCTACTTCCTGCTTGTCCTCTGTTGAGTTATCCTTTTGTGATAAGTCAACATGTAGCATATCGCACTGAGTCTCTATCTCCTGAATTCCCTTTTTACTGTTTTCTGATGCTTCCTCTTCAATTACCCAACCTGTGGGAAGAGGCATTATTCTTGGAGGCGATCCATACTTTTCAAAACGAGGCACTCTCTTTTTCTTTTTGAGCGTCCCGTACAGCACGTAAAAATCGAAAGAACGTCCAGATGGTTCTCCCAATAAGTCTACTTCACGAACTCCCTCACGATGTAGTTGCTTCAATAGAGTATTGTGCGATACTCCTCTTCTTCTCCTTTCTGCTTACAGATCGATTTCCTCTTCAATATTTGTCATACCATCATCTTTCTCACCATTGTAGGCCTCTCTAGAAGTCTGGCCTTCTTCATATTCCAGCACGCTTGCTTCTCCTTCGTTATTGTCTCTTTCTTCTTCTTCTTCTTCTTTCTCTTTATTCTTGAACTCATTGGCTAGTAAATAGTTATTAGCCACAACAGGAGGTAACGTACCGAACTGAAAAGTAAGGGACTGACCTGGATCTTCTCCATCCTTTCTGTCTCGCTCAAACTTCGATCTCCTAGAAGAAGTTTCTGGCAACTCTTTCATTGATTCATCTGTACCGGTCTCTTCACAATCTTTGAGAACATTTTGATTGGCTACCTTGAGTAGTTTAGGCGCTTTAGGACGTGGCACTCCCTGTTGTTGCCTCATCATTCATCCATAATTTCGTTGGAAACGTCTTTCTTGGATTCTAGTCATCTCATCGAAGGGTATTGTCTTTCCTGCATTATACTGGAACAAATGCCATACATTTGGTCTGCGAGGTTGCGGCCTGAATGTTCTCCCATTATCTATTAGCCTGCACTGCCTCTCAAAAGGCGGTCCCTTGTAGAACGATGTACCTCGCCCTCTACCAGGCTGAGCGTTTAGGAGGAGAGTAGGGCGATGGAGATGCTGCCATATCCCTGGTTTCTCCGTATTCCCCCTCACTTCTCTTTTACATCTTGCACATAAGATGTCTTTATCCTTCTTTGGCTCCTTCCCTTTAATACGCTCAAAGACACTGGGATGTGGTCCAAGGTCTTCTTCTCCATCATCTATAACCAATTTGAATTTTGGCAACTTGTTTTTGAAACCAGACATTACCATATTCACTCCAAGTGGCTATGGAAAAGGATTTTCATCCACTGCCATCTTCTTCTTATCATCGAACGTAATTCGTCCTGATTCAATGGCATCCTGTAACACATGGCGAAAAACCAAGCAATTGTTAGTCAAATGTGACCATGCATTATGCCACTTGCAATATTTTTTACCCTTAATTTGTTCAGGGTTTGGCAATTTATGCTTATCGCTCAACTTTATCTGTTTATCCTTATATAATTTATCAAATATAAGGTCAGCTTTGGTTACATCGAACGAGAACGTCCTAGCTTTTACGTTTTCATCTTTCATAGGTTCATTCTTACCCGATGGTCTAGACTTAGCCATTATAGGACAAGTATACGTGTTTCCTTTGACTAGTTCGGCCAAACACATTTCGGTCTGAACGTATGACTCGTTATTGATGGTATGAACATCAAAATTTGGGTCTCTATAAAAAGTCCCCTTGCTAAAATTTTTTATCTGCTCTTCTTCTCTTATCAATCGTTCATACCTAATCACGTTCGCACTCAATTAGAAAAGGTCCGGAAATTCCTTGTCTTGGAATTTCTTTTTTAAATCAAAGCTCAAACAACCTTGAGCAATTTTGACAAACTCTTTTTCGGGCAGAGGTACAAAACATTTACTTTTTGCTATCTTGAACCTTTGGAGGAAACCTTCTGCCCATTCGTTTGGCATTTGACGTAGGTTCGCCAAATCGGCCAAAGTAATTTCAGACTCAGTATTATAAAACTGAGCGTGGAATAATTGTTCCAATTGTTGCCATGTTTGAATAGAATTCGCTGGCAAATTGATGAACCAGGAGAAAGCTACTCCTGTTAATGAACTAGGGAAAAGCCTCATTTTATGATAATCAGTTACGTCACCACTTTGCAGTGTGAATCGTCCTATGTGTTCTAGAGTAGACACCTCCCCTAAACCGGTAAACAGTGAGAATTCTGGCACTTTATACCCTCTAGGCCATGGATATGCTTGGTCTATCCAATCAGGATATGGCTTTGTGTAGGTCGGTCTAATGACAAGACGTACCCCAAAAGTCATCTGGTCCTGTACGATTTCCATAATCTGATTCCTCAACATGACGTTGGGGTCATATGGAATCCCTACAGGTTGATTGACCGGTTGATTTGCTTGAGGCCTGATATTTGGTCCTTGATTAGGAATAAAATTACCATGATTTGAGTCATTGTTACCATTAGCCTGAACATTTATTCCCTCATTAACACATGGGGTATTCTGTCCGTTATTTAAGACATTATCTCGTACATTTGGATTACCCCCCAAGTTAGGCGTACCACTACCATTATTTTGATTTGGCATTACACCATCCCCTTGGTTTGAAGTAGAGGGACCGAAATGTGATTCTACCCCTTGACTTGTATTTAGGACTGAGGAATTATGTCCCACAATTGTCCTAGTTTGAAAATGGTTTGCAAGAGGCATAACTGGTTGACAAATTTGGCCTACTAACTTATTCATTATTTCATTCAAAGTATTCAGTTGTTTGGCCATGTTGTCATAATGTGCATTCCCATTCTGGGTAAATCTTTCCATATTATGAATATTTCGAAGATTTACCTGTTCAACGACATCTTGTGTGAGTTCTCCAAGTAGTACACGCATAGTTCGAGGACTCAATTCTGCCATTGATTCGTAACGACTGTTACTGCTCTGATTCTGTCCATGTGTTCGTGGAGAGCTATGCTGCTCCTCATATCGCTCGATCACAGACTGGACTCCTCCCTGACTTGCTGCTTCCTTATCAGATCTCTGAAGCATATTGTTTCACCTTTTGTGTCTTCAACACCAAGCATCACTGCTGTCCCACTGGGCGTGACAAATTGTTTCGCGCGATTAGTCGCTAACAATTAAAAAGGGATCAGACGATTGTGTAAGGGACAAGCCTCTTGAGACAAAGTCCCAAAAATGGGCGTTTTTATTGGCGATGACTTTACAATTGAAAAATAAAAGCAGAATGTCTCCAAGGGGCGCAAGCACACGAGTTACTGTAAAAGAAGTGTTTAAATCTAAACTAAGAAATTGAAAGTTACATATTCTCTATTTGAGAGTGTTTGGTTCAGGATCTTCTGCTCTATGTCTTTTCTTTATTTTATATTTCCTGGATGATCTCTTCATGATTAACCGCTTAAAAACTGCTTGATCGCTCTATAACTGCCCACTTTCCTTGTAGTGGCCAACTTGTCATGAAACTGCCTTCTCTAATTGCTGCCATTACTTTTGTCGTTCAACCGTCTTCAATTGAATTCCTTGAATCGTGGAACGTGATAAGACTACCCAATAACTGCTTTATTAACTGCACTTTTTTGGGTAACCATAACATCTTATGTTTGCTAAGATGCTGGGCGACTTAAATGTTTGGACGAGAGCAGGGTCACAATTCTGGGCGACTGCATGGCATTTCATTCGCTCAAATCTTGGGCGACTTACAACCTTGGACGATGGTATTACCGCGTTCATGGGCGTCCCTATTTGGGCCTTTATCTTGCATTGCCTGATTGTGTCGTTTTTTGGGCTATTTGATTTTGGGGATCTTCCAATTGGGCTTCATTCCTTGGGCTATTCGAGTTGGACTGAACTTTTTGTGTGTCAACAACTTCTTTGGTTGAAATTAGTTTTGAAAACAACTATCCCTCTGGAAATCTTCCCGTGGATATTTATGAAAAACTTTCGAAGCTTGAGAGGCTAGGAATTTTGTCGAATCAAATAAGTGGCAATATTCCTCCAAGCTTGGGAACATGTGCAAACCTTAAACTACTTTCTTTGACGAGGAATAAATTCAATGGAAGCATTCCAATGGAGCTCGGGAACTTGTCACGACTTCAAATTCTTCAACATAGATTCAATAATTTGATAGGTATGTTTAAGGTTTGAATGTATCCCTCAATCCAATAGTTAATAAATAATCAATTGGCAAATATAGTTTGTCCATATATATATCTTATTAAACTCATGATATGCTTGTAACGAGAAGAGACAGGTAGGGGATGTTAATTGCTGTTTAACCATTGGCGGATATGAATCTAAGAAAGCCAAAATATTTGAAATTTCTTCCTACAAATTTTGGTTTCAACCACAAATATGCAGAAGTGTAATATTGTTTTATTTTTTTTATCACAAGTTTAATCAAGTTTCATTGACTTAAAATTATGTACTTACAAAGGCATGTTTTGTAGGAGATTTACCTTCAAGTATCTTCAACATTTCTTCTTTATTAACAATTTCGATTCGACAAAACAAAATTTCTGGAAACTTTCCCGAAGACCCATGCAAAAGACCTTCAAATCTTGAAAGACTAGAACTTTCTGAAAACATGTTTCATGGAGAGGTGTCGCTAAGTCTATTGAATTGTCGTGCACTTAAACTACTTAATATCTCCAACAACGGATTCATAGGTAGCATTCCAGAAGAAATTGGAATCCTATCATCACTTCGGTGGTTAGATATGAGTTATAATGGCTTTTCTGGTACATGTCAACCCTCTTAGTCAGCAATTTTTTATCTTTTTTTTTTTTCCCTAAAAATCTTTATCTGCCTCTCTTCTGTCTGTAGTATGATCGAACAATTCAGTCATTTCAAAACATTATTATATGAATAATTTTTAGATTTAATATTTTAAAATGGTGAGACAGGAAGCATTCCTAAAGGAATTGGAAACGTATCAGCACTTCGACATATAGATTTGAGTTACAATAATTTGACAGGTATATATTTATCTCTTACTAACAATTATTTTATTATTATTAGTTTGACCTATTCAAAAAATTCGGCCTATGGCTTCTATAATTCTGATTATGCTTAAATTTATATCATCTGAATGTCTTAACGAAAACCACATTGCAGGTACGATCCCATATTCAATTGGTAATATGTCAAATATAGAGTAAATGAGCATTGGTGAATACAAACTTCATGGACACATTCCTCCAGAAGTGGGACATCTATACACTTTAGAAGAATTGCAATTTTCCTTTAACAGGCTTGATGGCGAAATACTTCTTTCCATCTTCAACCTCTCCAAGTTAGAACTCCTTGGGCTATCGTACAATGATCTTTCTAGCAATCTTCCATCCTCACTAACCATTGGACTCCCCAATCATCAAATTCTCTTTCTTAATAATAATCGATTAAGTGGAGAAATTCCAAGCTCTATTTTAAATAATTCTAAATTGGCCCTTTTGGATCTTGGTGACAACTCATTGAGTGGACCTGTACCCATGCTCTTGGGAATTTTCAAGAACTCCAATTTCTAAACTTTCAAGATAATCAGTTGACAAACGATCCGTCAATGCGGGAACTGGGTTTTCTTGCTCCTTTGAGTAACTGCAGACACTTGAAGAGGATAATTTTTTCAAACAACTCTTTTATTGGAATACTTCCAAAATCCCTTGGCTTAGGTAATTTGTCGGCATCTCTTGAAATCTTCGTTCCTAATAATTGTGGTCTCAAAGGCCTGATTCCAAATGAAATTGGTAATTTCAACAACTTAATCTTGTTGGAATTGATAGGCAATGACTTAATAGGAACAGTTCCTGATGCACTAGGGCAATTAATGAGAGTACAAAGCCTCTTAATTGGAAGAAATGAACTAATGGGACCAATACCTGCCAACTTTTTCAATATTGAAAATTTGTACCATCTAAATTTGAGAGAAAATAAGCTCTCTGAACAGCTGTCGAGTTGCTTTGGAAAGCTTACTTCATTACGAGAAATTTTTTTAGATTACGACAAGCTGACTTCAGCTATACAATCAGAGTTATGGACTAACAAGTACCTCAGAATTGTTGAGTTGTCATATAATATGTTCATTGGTTCTGTGCCTCCAGAAATTGGAAGTAGAAACACCATGCTAGACTTATATTTATTAGGAAATCAATTGTCAGGTGAAATTTCGACTACTTTTGGGTTACTTTGGAAACTTTGATATTATCAAACAATAAGTTACACGGTCATATACCAGATTCATTTGCTAATTTGATTGCATTGGAATACTTGGATATATCCCAAAACAATCTATCTGGTGTAATCCCAAGACATTGGAGACACTTAAAAATCTTGAGTATTTTAACGCGTTGTTCAATGAACTTAGTGGTGAAATTCCAAATGGAGGGCCTTTTAAGAACTTAACCCCAGATTCTTTCAAAAGCAATAAAGAATTATGTGGAGCATCTCAATTCAAAGTCGTGCCATGCAAAGGTAATACAACAAAATCATCAAGCAAGACTAGAGTTCTGAAGTACATTTTACCATCAAGTGCATTGGTAGCAAGTCTAGTAATTATTATGGTTTGGCTGGTAAAATGCCATAATAGACAAACAGGTCTTCCAGATCAGTCTATTTCCCCCTTTACCTTGAAGAGGATTACCTATAATGAGGTACTTTATTCTACCAATAACTTTGATGAAGAGAATTTAATTGGCAGAGGCAGTATTGGTTCAGTATTCAAGGAAACATTTTTCAATGGAATGATTTCTGCTCTTAAGGTTTTCAATTTAGATATAGAAGGTGCAAACAAAAGCTTTGATTCAGAGTGCCATATATTGTGCAACATTCGCCACGGGAATCTTGTCAAGGTAATTAGTAGTTGCTCTAACCTTGACTTTAAAGCCTTGGTTTGGAATACATGCCTAAAGAAAACCTTAACTATTGGTTGTACTCTTGTGACTATTGCCTATATATGGCTCAAAATTGGAAATAATGATGGATGTCGCATCTGCTTTGGAATATCTACATCATTGGTGTCCGTCCCAAATTGTCCACTGTGATTTGAAGCCAAACAACGTACGTCTCAATGAAGATATGGTTGCCATATAGGAGACTTCGGTATTTCCAAGCTCTTAACGGAAGATCAGAGGAGTTCACAAACCAAGACTTCGGGCACCATTGGATATATGGCACCAGGTAACAGGTTTTGCCAATTACTTGCATCTAGAGTTAAATGTAATTTTACATAAATTGTCATGCTATCATTCTTGCTTTACAATTATTTCTTTTGTTCTATGAATGATCAATAAAATCAAGACAAACACATGATACAAGACTATCTCAATCTTGGGTAAATCTATGTTGTGCTCTATTTAGCATTTACTTAATTTAATTTCATTGAACATTTCACTTGCTAACTTATTCTCATATGCCAATTTTTTTTAGAATATGGATCAATCGGATTAATATCGACTATAGCGGATGCTTATAGTTATGGAATTATGCTGATGGAATCATTTACCAAAAAGAAGCCAACATATGATATATTTTTTGGAGAGTTGAGCCTCGGGAGATGGGTGTTTGAAGCATTCTCTGGTACAATAATGCAGATAATGGACATGGATCTAGTGAAATGAGTAGAAGAAAATACTCAATCCAAAGAAAATTGTTTCAGATCAATCATGGAACTAGTACTAGAATGCACAGCTGATTTGCCCGAGGAGAGGCTGAATATAAAAGTTGTTCTAGTAAGACTCAAAAAGATCAAAATAGAATTACTTTCTAGCACCATTTAGGCAGAATGAGACAAAAAGGTTTGTTTCTTCTGACTGGTGATTTTTCCATCTAATGGGAACGCAAATAGATGATTATTTGAAGCGAAAGTTCATTAATGAAATACAACATATTTTGTAGTTCCAGTTAATGCTTAAGTATGGTCGGATCATATCTGTAGTATTATTTCACTACCAGTTCTTTTATTCCATTATTCAGATCGACTACAATTGGAATGAAAATTTAAATCATGTCTTAAAAGCTTATTATATTGCTATTGCAAAAAACTTGACGATCATTCTGAAGGTTTAATCTTTGTTTGTCTTCCACTGTTACTTTGCTTTGCCCTGTGTTCTCTGTGATGTGGCACTAAAAATGGTACTGGAATATTATATAAGTAGTTTTTTGATCTTATGTGAGGTGAAGTGTACTCTGATTATAACATAAGACCACAACTTGTTCCTTTTCCAGCAATTTTCGTAGTAGGCTTTTCAACTCATGGCTTTCTTTATAGCTTCAATGGCTGCTACATAATCAACCTCGGCAGTCTATAAGGCCACTATTGCTCATAGAGTTGATTTCCAGTTCTAAATTATTCCCATCATAAGTGAAGACATGAAAATAGTAGACCTTCTCCTATCCAAATCTCCAGCAACTTAAAAATAGTTGAATTTTTCTTTAAGTACAAGGATTTTTTCACAGGTTCCTTACAGAACTTGCTGTGGCACAATCCTGTCAGTTATTTTTTTTTTCATTTTTGTCATTTGTCAATGCTATTTCTACATGTGTTGTTCGTGAAAAAATCCCGTGAAGAATCCCTCTACATGTAGCAGAATTCAAAATAGTTTTCATGATATTTTCTCTCTATAATCTTACAAATTAGTGAAAACTGTGAATTGAACGGAGATGGAAAGCTTAAATTATTGCAACACTACATGACTTTTTAATCAAAGCAACTTGGCAACATTCATAATTATTTTCCAAAAAAATAAGTATAAAATAGTCAAAAGTAGACCATAATTTTCATAAGGAAAAATTTCATAAGAGTTTAAGTATCACACATTTAAAAAAAAAAAAAAGAAAGAAAGAAAAAAGAAAAAAGGGGTTTCAAACTTCAAAAATCAGATTTTTATTAAAATTTATTTATGATTTAATTAATTAATTATTTTATTAATTAAATATATTTAGGTCACGGATCTATACAATTTAATTTCAAATTAACGATTTAATTCATCACTTATTATTTTTTGATCACAAATCAAAAATCTTATGTCACAAATTATTTTACGGTCACAATTCAAAAATTTTATAGGTCATAATTTGTTCATCGATCGCAGTTCAAAAAATTTATAAGTCATTATTTACTTATTAGTCACAAATAGTCACAATTTATTATACAGTCACAAATTATCAAATTATTAGTCACGGATTAAATTTTTTTAGGTCACACAATATTTCTTGATCACAATTTATATTTTTGATTGGTCAATTATTGTTTATTGATCATAGATTAACTAATTTAATGATCATAGTTAACCAAATAATTTATGACCACCACTAACACTAGAAACCAGCACTACCATCACCATCGACATCGACAGAACCACTGCCTTACACAAATCTACTCATCGTGGAACATACCACCACATCGTCGACGCCAGATCCACCACCAAGAAAAAAATTTATTATAGTAACCAACATCGTCCGACCATAAATTGGACCCAAATTTCCTAGATCTCCTGTCATCTACCACTACTTGCACAACCTAGATTGTGACCGCCATTGCCAATGCCAGGCTATGACTACGAAAAACTACCACTACTTTACCACCACTATGACAGCACCGTAAAATAGATCCAAAATTAGAGTCGCAATAGAAAGCTACAACCATTGCCACAACCATCACCGGAGCTAACATCACAACCACCACCACCACCCAAACGCCACCAACAAATCGAATACAAATCTGCTAGCATTCCACAACCGCCATCATCACACCACATCACCATCGTCGCCATCTCCACCCCACCGCTGCCACCACCACCACAACCCACCCTCGCCACCACCAGCTCTCCACCAACAAATCAGATCCAAAACATTATCGCCTTGTCTTCGTTGCCTCCACCATGACTACTATCACCACCTCCACCATTTTTAACCAACACCACACCTAAAAACTCCTTCACAGAATAGACAAGAAGAAACCATCACAATACTACCATCACCGCAACTAACAACCATACCAGCAGCTGGCCAAAAGAGCCATTACCACCACTCCAACAAATAAAACCAAAACCATCCTTACCTCTTCGCAAATCTTTTCAAAATTTCAAGAGCCCACCATTATCTACATTTTATAAATAAATTAATCTTTGCATTCATCTAGAAAACTTTGAATTATTGGGAACATTTGAAGTTCATAATGAGCACGACCAATGCAAGTTCATAATAAGAAAACATTTGTTTCTTGAGTTTAATCCGTTTGAGTCATTAGTATTGTGTGTGTGTAGATTCGATCTACATCAGGTAGGATATCAAAGAACTAGAAGCTTAATCTAGCAAATATCAGTCTAGGAGATATTATTGCTAGAAAAAAAAATTAGTGTTCTCTTTTTGAAGATCCTTGATTAACCAGCTTCAGAAAATAGAAATGGAATACAATGTGATAAACTTTGGATCTATACAATTTAATTTCAAATTAACGATTTAATTCATCACTTATTATTTTTTGATCACAAATCAAAAATCTTATGTCACAAATTATTTTACGGTCACAATTCAAAAATTTTATAGGTCATAATTTGTTCATCGATCGCAGTTCAAAAAATTTATAAGTCATTATTTACTTATTAGTCACAAATAGTCACAATTTATTATACAGTCACAAATTATCAAATTATTAGTCACGGATTAAATTTTTTTAGGTCACACAATATTTCTTGATCACAATTTATATTTTTGATTGGTCAATTATTGTTTATTGATCATAGATTAACTAATTTAATGATCATAGTTAACCAAATAATTTATGACCACCACTAACACTAGAAACCAGCACTACCATCACCATCGACATCGACAGAACCACTGCCTTACACAAATCTACTCATCGTGGAACATACCACCACATCGTCGACGCCAGATCCACCACCAAGAAAAAAATTTATTATAGTAACCAACATCGTCCGACCATAAATTGGACCCAAATTTCCTAGATCTCCTGTCATCTACCACTACTTGCACAACCTAGATTGTGACCGCCATTGCCAATGCCAGGCTATGACTACGAAAAACTACCACTACTTTACCACCACTATGACAGCACCGTAAAATAGATCCAAAATTAGAGTCGCAATAGAAAGCTACAACCATTGCCACAACCATCACCGGAGCTAACATCACAACCACCACCACCACCCAAACGCCACCAACAAATCGAATACAAATCTGCTAGCATTCCACAACCGCCATCATCACACCACATCACCATCGTCGCCATCTCCACCCCACCGCTGCCACCACCACCACAACCCACCCTCGCCACCACCAGCTCTCCACCAACAAATCAGATCCAAAACATTATCGCCTTGTCTTCGTTGCCTCCACCATGACTACTATCACCACCTCCACCATTTTTAACCAACACCACACCTAAAAACTCCTTCACAGAATAGACAAGAAGAAACCATCACAATACTACCATCACCGCAACTAACAACCATACCAACAGCTGGCCAAAAGAGCCATCACCACCACTCCAACAAATAAAATCAAAACCGTCCTTACCTCTTCGCAAATCTACAAATACCGATGCGAAGCACAACCTCACAGTGATGTTTGGAGCATCCATGTCTCTAGCTCCATCCAAGTGAGTGCAAAGCGATGACTGTGTCTTCGATGCCATGCCTCAACATCGGGTATGCCATCTCGCCGGAGGTGGTGTGTTGGTGGCGATCACCGGTGGATGTTTATGGTTTGCCACTCACAGTGGATATTCGATGGCACTGGAGAGACGACTAAGAAGGGAAGGAGAGAGGGCAAAGGAGAGGAAGGAGATTTACGGGTTTGCTGGGTAGTGGGTAGGGTTTTGATATTTTCCTAATTTTATTAGTTTATTTAAATAATTAATATAAAAAATTCTGATTTTTGAATTGTGAAACTTCCAACCTGATTTTAGAATGTTGAATGTTTAAAGTAGGGTGTGTATTTTCCACTTTTCAAAATTTCAAGAGCCCACCATTATCTACATTTTATAAATAAATTAATCTTTGCATTCATCTAGAAAACT